GTTGTTGTTGTCTGTAGTAGTAGTAGTAGTGTTGTTGTTGTTGTTGTTGTTATTGTTGTTTTTGTTGTTGCTATTGTTGTTGCTGTTGTTGTTGTTGTTGCTGTTGTTGTTGTTGTTGCTCTTGTTGTTGTTGTTGTTGTTATTGTAGAGCAGTATTGTTTGATGTATGGAATTAATTTGCTTGATAAAATGTAAAGATCCTTGATATTTTTGTCATTTTTAATGTTGTAAATTTATAATGTTCTTCATGTAAGATGACATTTTGCCCTGATTAAAAATTTACCGAAAAATAAGATTGAAAACTTGATTTAATGTTGAATGGTTAAGAAGGAGATTAAGGTGATATAATTATTACCTTGTTCATAGTGTTTACATCGTTTCTTAAAGATATGCCTACGGCATGCTTCTTCTTCTTCTTCTTCTTCTTCTTCATTCTTCATTCTTCATTCTTCGTCGTCTTCATTCTTATCATCTTAATTATTTCCCTTTTTTTTTTCACTTTTTCAACAATTATTTTTTGTTTTTCTTTTCATATAATTTAATTAGGAGAAAATAATATTTTCACTTTTTCAATAGTTGTTTTTTATTTCTTTTTTTTTTTAAATATAATTAAATTAAGAAAAATGATAAATTCATTTTGCAATTAAACAGAATAGTTTTTTTTTTCTTTTTTAATAACATACGAAAACGCTAATTACTATTTCGATTTCAGTTCCTTTTTTTTCCTGCAACTACAATTATTTTCCTGAATATTAGCATCTATAGATTATTGTTCATTAAATTGAATTCTGATCTCTCAGCAAAATATATCATCATTGATAATTAACTTTATATGATATATAATTTGAGTTCAGAAAGGCAACAAAACAATTTTGGTTATTAAAACATTCCATTTATTCCATCCAATTATTAAGCTTTAATTAAGTTTGTTAAACTTTGGTTAATATTCAATTAAAATATTTTTTCCACGATGTTTTTTTTTTTTCTACTGTAAATAAGCTATCCCTTTGCTAATGATTGTCTAAATTGCTCCTAATTTTGTAATGGACAATACTATCATTTAGTTTTTCTTTTTTTTTCTATTTTGAGATGAATTCTTGAACGATTTTAATTCAAATAATTCCACAATAAAATTATATTTATTCATTTCATTTTATTGTTTATTTATTAACTCATTTGTTTACTATGTTTGTCCATTTAATTTGATATTATTAATGATGCTTATTTATTTATTACGATCGGAACAATTTACCTGTTCATTCATATATTTATCCATTTTCTCTAATTCAATCTTATGATGATCAATATTTAAATTAAAGTTTACTAATAGGAATATAGTGTAAAAGTTGAGGTATACGATGACCTTGATGAGTTAATGATGTTTATAATATTTGTTAGGCTACCAATTCAAATTTAAGTATGCAAAATGCTTATGTATTGTTGTGGGGCATTTGTAAAATACCAAAAATGTTAATTGATGAGATGAAATATCAATTTATGCGCATATTTATGCATTGGTTGATGCAGAAGAGTGAACTTTTATAAACGGTTAAGTAGGAGAGAAAGATAATGAAATTAATTAATAATTAGTGCAAAACAATTCGAGGAATGAAATGTATCGTATTATTATTAGCTTTGATTAAGCAAAATTGTGGACAATGATACTCATATGAAATGACACTTATTCATTTTTTTTTTCCTACCATTGATTATCCTAATTAACATTCCATTGGTAATAGAACTGAGTTATATATAACATCTGTAAATTGAAATAATAAGATGAATAATTGGAGGTATTCCTTGGAGTATTATATAAAAACAAATATTCATCGATCAATATTATTCAGTTTTGATTTAATTACCAACAGCAACAATAATAATAGCAGTAACAATAACAATAACAATAACAACAATAACAATAATAATAATAAATAATAAATAATAAATAAATAATAAATAATAATAAATAATAATAATAATAATAAATAAT